ACACCTGTGGTCCGGAGTTTTGCAAATATCTCAGCATTTCGTACGAGTTATAATTCGAAACATAACCTGCCATTAAGAAGAAAAAGGCAGTAAATAAAAGAGTTAAGATAAAATACTCTTTGTCAAGTTACGAGCACCTTATTTAAAGACCTTGAACTTTTGGATTTTTTCAACATAACACATGGTAGATTTTATTCATTTCAATAGTGCAACTCCTCTAAAAACCCTAAGTAGGACCCAGTGAATTATGCGATGTTATGATTGTTTGACATGAATGAAAAGTAGACGAGATGAAAAAGAAAAAAACTGACGACACCACATTAATGAACGTAACTACCATATTGACAGACGTGACGCTTAAAAATGTTTGTTCATTTGGGGATATCACAACGATCACAATCCTTTTCAGCAACATAAACTTCTATTTGCACCGTGCTTTCGTGGACACCGTACACCTGCTTCAGCATGGCACGAGTTTCACGCAAAACGGATTGAGCAATCTCTGGTTGTGCTACTTCCAGATGAACCGAAATGGCTAGCTGTAAAAAAATCATTTTTCCTTCTTTTGCTTTTTTCACTGCCATCCTGCATCTAACCGGGTTCAAGTTCAAAATCAAATTTACCTTATCCATTGTTAGCGCCCAAATTCTCAAATCGTGCACTTTTCTTACACCTTTAATCTGCTCCAAAGAAGTGAATACATTCGAAAAGTCGATAGTACTAGGTCTTCCTGAAAAGCGTAGAAGTTCTTTGTGTGATTTAAGATGACTTTTATTTGTAAATAAACTATTGAGTAGCAAATCTGTTAAAGAGACCAACTACACTTGAGTGCATTCCAACTGGATAGAAGGAATGATGCAGCTGAAGTAAAGTGGGATTTACGATGAGTTTTTTTTCACAAGGCAGCTCTTAAATAATCAAAAACACTAATAAATCCTTGAAAATGTTCGAACGAACCTTCAAGGAGAACAACTGTTGCATCTCTTAGAACATACATTGTTGTACAAAGCACAATAACAGAGAATATAAGGGTGCAGATTGGATCAACAATGGCCCAGTCTTTCTAGAAAATTCGAATTCATAATTTTCACCTTCTTATTCTGCTTTTTTGGCGTTCCAAATTTTTTTGTTTGTAAAGCCATCATACATTGAAAAAAATAATCAGGGCAGCAATGAGTACACCGATGCTCTGAATCAAATCGCCAATGACATGAATGAATGCGGCCCTGACGTTGATGTTCCGCTCATCGGAAGAATGATTGCCTAAAAGCGTTACAATCAACTGCGTTCCTAAGGAGTTTCTAAGACATTTTCAACAGATCAATTTAAATTCTTCTCGACTTCCTTCGTAGTGGACCTCACCTAGATCATCAAACAGAAGTTTCGTCATAAAAGTGATCTACTTTTCTTTAATCGATGACTGATCTGTTATGTAGCATTAATTAAAGGATAATAAAGGATAGAGCTGTCGGTGTTGATTAATCCCTGAGGGATGCTCCATGCATTCAATTTCATTAAGCATCGTTTGGAGGTGACTGAATGAACATCTGGTCTTTACAATGACTCGTGGTGGCTTACCGATGTACCGAGCCAGTGCTACTATCCTCGCAGACAAGTCTGCTACTAATTTGCCGACCCCGGAAGGATGGAAGGCTTGATGGGCCAGAGGAACCGAAATCGGTCATCGAAATCGATCCCATGTGTTTTGCAGGGCGCATCCGACCACTTCTCCACACGCACCCAGTAGTAGTGATTATTTGTTAATTTCATTTATATTAGGGCTTGCTTTACATAAACAATTTAATTATTACATTTTTACCGTAATAATTTTTTAGCACTCTTACGACGAGTTACACCTTTGGGTGTCATAATGGTTTTGAGGGAGTCGCCGGCATAACACCTGCAGGTCCCATTTTCTTTCCGTTGGTTTATTTCAACACACAGAACTATACCCTCAACCATTTTGTTGTCAGCTGATAGTTTGTGAAAGACGTGTTGTGCTGGGCTTTGGTAAACACAAGCTCTATTGTGGATTTAGAAATACACAAAAAATTTGCATATTTCTAGACTATACACTATACATATACTTCCCAAGATGTTTCTGTTAACATCGGCACTGGGATATGAATATCTCGTTTTCTTTCTCAGCAATCGGCAAATTGGCTCCTGAGTGGCCTGGTGAAGTGTCACTGAAATCCACAAAAGCGCAAATGAGTGTGGTGAAAATTTGGAAGTACCATGATACAGCCGTACCAGAATCTCTGAGAGAATCGACTCATAGGCACTGGACGAAACTTATAAGGAAGGCAAGGCCTTTGAGTACAACCGAAAGTACACACAAATCCGAAAGTTTTTGTGGATGACGGATGCCAGGAAACGAATCTAATGGGAAAAATGTTTGGATCAGCCCAACATGTGAAGCTGGGTCGTTTTAATTTCAAAACACTGAAAAAGTTGAAAAAGAAGAATTGAGAAAGAAGACTTGCTGGTCTTAACACGGCAGTTTTAATAAGTAATTCGGAAGTTGTCTTGAAGCAATTGGTAGGTAAAAAGAATTTTGCTTCGCTCGTTCGATTTTGGAAGCGTGTCCGAAATCATCAATCACTTTCGATTCCTAGCTAAGGTTGCATATTTGCACTAGGTTTTCCAAGATATAAAATCAAGAAAAAAAGTGGAGCGTGACTAAGCTTAAGTGGTTGAGAAGAGAAAAAATTTGACCGATCCTTCATTAAATGACGAATTCTCGATCTCGTACCATTTTCTTCACCATTCCTTTCAGTGTGATGTGTGTGATAAAGAGTATCACTCCCTCCACCGTGAGAATGTGAATGACCACCAAAGTAGAGCATAACGCCCATGCTAAAAAGAAATCTAGTAAGCACCAATTGAACGAACCTGTTTCATATTACAAATGCCTCAAAACAAATATTTGACGGAGTTGGCATAGAGGCCTGAAGAGTGTTATTTAAAAGAAATGGTAAAATCGACTATATCAACAAATGATACAAATCTGATTGGAAAGGAGTCCTTTGAAAAGTCAAAATTGTTTTATGCTAAGGATTCCAGTCAGGCGGCGTTACATCTGCCGGCCCTCCTTGAAATAATTAGTAACTTTGAGTGTCAACAGAGTGCACCCAGGTTAATAGTGAGAGGAAAGTGGAACATAAAATAAGCACAAGAAAAAACATTAGAAACGTACATCAGGTTCACAGCAACCCCTATGGTAGCCGTGACAGCCATGACAGTAGAGTTAATCTCATAATCCTGATTAACCATTCGTAGGATGGCCAACACGACAAGGACGGCCGTCACTATCCAGATTAGAAACACAGAAAAGAAAGCTCCCAGGACTTCTGAACATTCCAAGCTATTTAAAATAATCTTTTTTAAAGAAATAATGGGTTTCACGACTAGAAATAGTCAACCACTCAATCAATTTCTCGTTTGCTAATGCTCACTAATAACTTTTAACTTTTTAAAAACTCAAAAGTGTTGTAGCATGAATTTCGAAAGCTAATGTGCACTCCTACAGGCTAAATACGAAGCATAAATTCTGAATGGAAAGCAAGATATCTCGGTCCTCAAGTCTTCATAGAAATAGGCTGGCCCGTTTAATTTTTGTAAGCAGGTTAGTAAAGCTGTTGCGCCTGACGTCAGCTATAAAGTTAAAACTATAGATTTCAGTGCTTCCTCAGAAAGTTTTATTTTCTTTTTAGATCCTTAACCACAAGCGGACAGTTCAGAAATAGTTTCCCTAGCCGTTTTGAATTGTGAAAATGCGTTAATAAGTGCACAAAACGTAGTCTTTTTGGTCTAACCACTTGCTGGTCGCAATTTTTGTACTTACTTTTCATGACGTGATATACTAAAATAAGAATTGAGGCAGTGATCAGTGCAACTACCTGCCCTGTAAAAACCGAAGCTCATTCGTTGTGACGGTGGCTTAGACGCAATGTAGATGGAGAACAATGAAATCAGCATCGAAGCAAAATCAGTAAGCTGGAAAACAAAGAACGTCCAAGGTTTCTTGATGCTATAGATGACTAGTAACTGTTTGAAATGCTCATGCTCACATCAGTAGATGATCAGTGGGTGTTACAGGTTTCGTGACCCCTTCTTGTTTTATACTTTTTTTTTTACCACATTCTCATTTTTTGTTGATCAATTAAGGGTAGTAATATCGGACTTGGACACTGCACGATAAACCAGAGATATCATTTTTTTCACAGAACCTGCTTTGTCCCGTCGCTTGGAATTATTCGAGGTGAATTGATGAATATTTGAAATTCAACACATTACTTCACGTTCGTTAGCTCAAAATTGTACGAAATTGGAATACAAACATAAGATTTCCTTCAAAAATTGTCACCACCATGATGAGAAGAAATACCAAAAGTTTATGTTATTGGATTACGGTGTACCTAATTGATCTTGAATTGGATGAATAGAATGGGATCTACGAGGCCTTTCATTCGAATAATTAGTGGCGTATTCTTCTACGTAGACTCCAATTTTCTAAAGAAGTCGCGGATAAGTCATGGAAATGAAGTCGAAACAAGGTTGAACTAAGTTGTATACATGTCAGTCGTCAAACTGATACCTATTTGTAAAATTACTACGAACTGAAGAATAAGTGGCGACCTGTACTGTATAAAAGACCACTATCAAAATTCACCAAATGCGCTGCATCGGTTACAATCGCCAACGATTTTGCCCAGAAACCACCAACAACTTCGCATATCATAAAGAATAAGCATGTACCAAGTGAAATCCATAAAACCCGAGCAGCTAAAAATAAAATATTATTGTCTCTTCTGAAAACAGTAGGACACTGCGGACGTACCTTGCACTGATCTTCCGTTGTCATCTCTGCTGGGCTCGTCATGACAATGAAAGTGATTACTGCTTTCTTCGGTGGCGTTGTAGTTTTGGCCACTGAAATATAGAGCAGAGTGAATCACAGAAAATTTCGATACCGAGATTGTACAGAATTCCTAGACAGTTATAAGCACGGTTGATAGAAGCTCTCTTACTACTTGCCACAAAGAGTTCTACAACTTGTTATAATCCCATTTTTCATTGAGTAACTTAATTTAGATTCACTAAAGTCTTTGTCAATTTTCTTTGCAGCTATGTCACTAATATTCGGTGAACCCGTTGGCTCGAGACACATTAGATTCATTGTTGACCTGTGGTGAATTTAATTATTAAAGCAATAAGGTGAAGATATAGCCTTAGACTATTTACTGCCTTTGAAGTGGCCTTGGTTTAGTAAAAAATTTGCTTCCAGAGTAGCTGGAGATGTCGGAATGTTGCTCAACTGGGGTGGCTGTGATGGAGAATGAATCCTTCAGTGTCCATCGATCACAGTTCGACGCTCAACAACTCTCCCGATTATGGTGAGTAGAGATGTGAACAACTGGGAGGACAGTATTATGCAGTGGTAATACCGTGTATTCTAATAAAAGCCGCGACTCGAAACTTAAACATGAATATTCTAAATTTCAACTCACTTATTAATTAACAGTGCTGTCGACTCATTCATTTTCCGATATGTTGCGTTCAATGAGTAAGACAGCGTGCACAACTTTGTTATCTTATCTATTCGAAGCCGACACAACGAGATACGAGTGTGCCGACAATACCAGGGACTGCTTTTGTTACTTCACTTATTGATTTCCTTCAGAAAAAAAATATAAAAGACCATCGTCATACCTGTCAGAAATCTCAAAATTCTAGCTCTTCCTCATTCAATATTTTTGTCGCGATATCCATAGAGTTGATGAGAAAAGAGGAACCGTTTCTACGAATAGAATGAATGTCTTAATAGGTATAGCAAAGCGAACCATCTCAAAGAAATTTCTCTTCGGACAGTAAAGTTTGTAACGAGCTACTAGAGCTTCATATGCTTCTCTAGTATCGCTGAGAAGGAATTCAGCGGTTGCAAAACTAGTTAGTTACTGTAGGTCATCAGACGACTAAGTTGTCCGTGAGTAGTTAATCAGCTAATTGAAGGATTTGTAGCCGTCACAGGAATAGCTCTCGTTCTGTAAGAATCCGAATCGAAAGGCATTAACATCAACACCTACTAAGAAAGACGACAGAAGTCTGTGATGACGATGTGAGAATACCTTAGCTCGGCTCCCTCGATTGTCCATGGAAAATGATGCTCAAGCAGCATTAAACATGTCGACAAATTAACGAATCCTAAGTTTTCAACTGAAGCCAAGTGCGAACTCGACTACCTCAACGGATGATTGCTTCATTACAACAGAAGAAGTAGAACAAGATAAAGCAAATAAAAGAAAACAAGATGGGCCATATGGAGATGGGTTACCTAACTCAAACCCAGCACACAAGCTTTTTGACCTGGAAACAAACCTTTACATGAATTACTGAGGTTATTCATTTCATTGAGAAAGAATGATAGACTGCCATTGCAATAGAATATGTTAGAACGTACTGTCACTCGCTGGACTATCATCGTATAAAATTTCGGCTAACGTTTATTTACGCAATACGAACCGAATGTGGCCACACAAAGTGTGTCACCCTTGGGCCGCTCAGAAAACATTGTTTGTGTAAGTTCTCACTCGATTTGGTGGCTGACATCAACCATATTCTCATCCGTAATTTTGCGACGACAAATACCTCTACACAAACAGAAACAGAACATCAACATAAAGCAAGCCTTGTTGTGCTTTAGTAGAGTTTTAAATGAATGTTTTTGTATGAGATTTTATCCACTACATCGGTGTAAAAACCTGCTTCTATGTCAGCTACCTGCAGGGTTAGATGTGATCGCTTAATATTTATGTTTGCTTCTTTCGCTCTTAATGTTCTAAGTGACATCAAATGCAAATTCCACGACAACGTCTCTTGGATCAGCTAGAACTGTTGTATATAAAATTGTGTATAAGTCGGTATTCAGTGCTAACCGCTATCACTCTCATTTGCATTGGTGAGATTACATCACCCTTTTGCCATGTATTTTCAATGCTGGGTGATAATTTTACACAGAGTTATTTGCAGATAAAGGAGAATGTAATGTCCTGGGCTTCATAGGGGCTTAAATACGAGAAAGGTGTTCTCGAAGAACCAACTTTGATAAAACATCTGCAGTAACATATTGTTGGAATTGAAAGAGTGACGAAAAACCATCGAACAGAACTCATATTTCAAAACAAAATGGTCGTTATTGAATTGAAAATGCAAAAGTCTATTTGTGTATGGACCCCGACAGCACTGATTCTTCTTATTGTGTTATTTTCATACAGAAAACATTAAGTTATTTTCGATCTTTAACCTATTGAACACTCGGTTATTTTTCAGCTCTCTTGACTGTGCTTGTAAACTGTCATATCCAATAGTAGCGCTTTTAACGTGATATATGCTACAAAAACTGTTGTGTTAACTTTTTTATTTGTTGCCTATTACAATTATCTACGGTAGGGTATGAGGTGAAATACAACTGTAATGATGCTGGGATAATTGTAAAACTCTCAACCGCAGGTGTCTGCGGTGGGGAACAAACGCACGCGCTATTACCTTTTCCTGGGGACAATATGTTCAGAAACGAGTAGAAAACTGGATGAGAGACAGGCGAAACGAAGTATCCGCATGATGTCATTAGCCATATGCGACTTTGAGCGGCTGCTCTTTCTCAGTGGAAGTCAGGTAAAAAACGGCTCTGAAGAAGATGTTGCCAAACTTAAGATAGCAGCTAATGATTATTAGGCGAAGGTTATCTACCGATGTTTGGTTGAGATATCATCGAACACTCAAGGAGACCATGTAGCTCGTTTGCGCTAACGCTAGAGGCGGGGATTGCATGAGTTGGGGTACGGTATACCTAATTTCTTGTAAAGCGTTAGCGAAGAATACGTTAGCGTATAGACCACTGTGTATCCATATAGAAAAACCCTTAGTTTTCAAATTCAAGGTAAAACCAAATACTCCACCTATCCGCATAGGGAACGGAGACACAATGGGGAAAATTTGAAGTAGAAGTCACCAACTTCGCACGGAAATTAAAAACACCTCCGCTAAAAATTCTCGAAGAGTTCCGAATACATTCCAACAACCTGAAAATGAAATGCAGAGAGGAATGGCTCGTAATCACGTGTGATCTCACATGGTATTTAAGGTTGATATTTCAATGTGAGGGGCACATTACATTTCCAAGTGAACTCTGCGCGGTTATTTTCCACGTGACATATTCAGTGGAAAACTCAAAGCGAGTGGCAAGAATGTGATGAGGCTGTTTTATGTTTAATGCGATTAGAAATTAGGTACCATTGCTTTTCTGTCAAACTTATTAAGGTGTTTCGCTGGCTAGGCTGTGGTTAACACCACCCTTGCAAGTACTGAAAGAAGTGGAATCCACTGTAACGTCAGTTGTTGTGAGCAAATGTTGTACAGTATTACGCAGTTCGGAAATAAATGAGCGTTCTTAACTACATTATTTAAAGTGTTATAACATGCTTCAAACAAAACGTTAACAAATTAAAAACCTTTTATATGTACACAATTTTGCTAACAAGAAATAATTTATTTATTGTAGCTACCTAAAATTCTAGAGTTCTTGAAGCCATGTATTCGTTAAAGGTATTTTGCGTCACCGTGGTTGGTAAAGTTTCTTATGCAGGAAGTTTTCAAGGTGATTGGAGAAATGATAGTCGGTGAGCGAGAGATCTATCGCGGATGATGCAAAGTTTCGTTCCGCAACTCGCTGCGAATTTTTTTGATTATCGTTTAATTTGAGCGGCACCCATTTGTTGAGCTTTTGTCTTCCCTATGCGATTCAAGTGAATGAAAATTGTTCCTATGCTTATGCCAAGCTATTCTCCAAGCTGTCGAACGACTGTTCGCGGGTTTGCTTCCACTAGTGCCTTCAGTTCGTCATTAAGTTCAATGGGACGTCTACCGCCTTATCTTCGACGTCGAAATCACCAGATCGGAATTTCCGTAAGCATGTTCGCATCAGTGCGATGTTTCACCAACACTGCCTTCACCCCAAACTTCATTAATGTATCGAGCCGTCTCTGTTGCACTACGACCGAGTTTGAACTCATAGAAGAAATTTTAACAAAAATCCTTTTCTGATATCTAAAATTGCGGAACGCAAAATTATAAAAAAAAGAATTTGACTTTCGGAAAAATTTAAAAATATGTTCTGTAATGCTGAGTTATTTGCAAAGCTTCGGACCGCAGGCGTCTGCAGTGGGGAACGAACGCGCTATTGTACTTTCAGGGGAGTAACGCGTTCACCACCACACCATTCCACTTCCCAGAACAATTCCGTTAACGGGTGATTGCTGATGGCTAGTGAACGATAAAACTAGCTGAGACACAGACGAAACGAAGGACCCACATGCTGTAGTGTTGAACGCGTTACTACCGGGAAAGGACAATAGCGCGTTGGTTCCCCACCGCAGACACCTGCGGTCCGGAGTTTTGCAAATATCTCGGCATTACAGAAGTTATATTTCGCAACATACCCTCCCGTTAAAAAGAATAGCAGTAAATAGCAAGGTTAAGGTTTAAAAATATGCTTTATTTTAGAAAAAGCATAAAATCAACTTGTAGTGATAAATAATATTGCGAAGTACGAAGAATATTGCAGTACTAATGAATACAAGAAATATTTTAAAAAGTTAATTTATTTCTGAACCGCCTAATAGTCAACAACGTTATGTGTGCATATCAAGAAAATAGCGAAATATCAACGTTTATAAATACGTCGTTTTTTTTTCAACAAACACAAGGTTGTACTCATACAACGTTAATACATCTAACGTCGTTTACATCGGCACCTACACGATAACGGCAAGTAGTAGTCCAGCTCAGTGGAATTTCAGCAAGACAGTTCAAGAAGGGTGGGTATCCTCTATGATTTCGGCAACTACGGTCCAGTGTGCTTACCATCTCGACAGAATTATTTACCACCAGCCTCCAGAACCTCATGCGAACATTGGAATGGGATAATATGGAAATGAAAATCGATGTTCGGGAGTTACACTATCTTCGTTTGCTGATGACATCGTCCTTATAACACCAAATATTAGCCATGCGGAACGTATGCTTGCCGATTTTGATAGGGGCTGTGGAAAGATTGGTCTTCGACGAAATATCACAAAAACGAGGTTTTTGAGGAACGGATTGATTTCTTATGCACCATTCACGCTCAACGGAACAAATATCACTGAATACTGCAGTTTCGTCTATCTAGGTCGAGAAATCAACACGTTGAACAACTTAGCCTCACAGCTGAGCAGAAGGAAGAGAAAGGCTTGGTGAGCTTTCAAGAGCATCGAGGATGTAGAGAAGAGGAGAAAAAACACCCGACTCCGTGCCTACCTTTTCGACTCAACGGTTCCTCCTGCTCTAACGTATGCGTCAGAAACCTGATCGTTGCTTAAGCAGGATGAATGATCACTCAGCGTTATTAAACCGGAGTCGAATGAGCGAAGCTAGGAGTATCCCGTTTCACAAAACTAAGGAATGGGATCCGAAGCTCCGACCTGTGTCAATGATCAAAAATCAAGGTGCTGTTCTCTACGCCGAACAGTGGAAGATAAAGTGAACCGAACACGTAATGCGTATGAATAGCAACCGATGGACAGGAGCTGTTAGTGACTGGATTCTTCGTGGTGTCAAACGTACTGCAGGAAGACCACCGACCCGATGTACAGAGTTTTTCACGAGAAGCCTAAAAGAAAGATGTGGTACTCGGCAAGTCCGTACAGAACCCACTGGACTACTCTTGCACGCGACAGAGGAAAACGGAAGATTTACTAGGGCCCGGACCAGTCACTGGACGATCAACGAGAGTACAGGTGATACAGGTGACAGGTGAATGGGGTTTATCGTTGATCTTCCTACTCATACGTCAATATGAAACCGTACAACAAAGTATTCAATTCTTCATGGTTTGCCAGTGGTGTTTCCTAAGGAATCTGTCGTCCACTCAAAGTCATCATTCATGCCAGAGGTTACTAAAAGCGTATTTCTCCTCACAGTGACGTCCTGTTACCAGTGTTACCAAGACAGTGTTGCTGTCTTCCCAGACAAACGTGTTACTTTCCCGATGCTGGAGAGATCGAGGCCATGCTGAGCCAAGGCCTAGGATCAAACTAAGGAGCGCGAATGTATTACAGTACACCTCTAACCACTTTGCTACACGAGCTTCTTGCGATGTTCTATACAGATAAAAGGATCACACAGCACTCTCACTAATGGTGCATTAAACTTGCTAGTTCACACGGAATTGATTAATATATTGGGACCATGAAATGTTCTGATAATTCTTTGTGCGTGAAAATTGTTGGAAAAATACCCGCACTGAATGTATCGATTTCAAGTTGCACTTTGGCTTCATTCGGAAAAATCCATGTTTTGTTAAATTAATCCGCATTCCTCCTAACGATTTATCGCCTCTTCGAGGCTGGGACGTGTTCTTGGGTGTCGGGCTGCGAAGTGCAGCGGGCGATTCATTCCCCCAGCAGGGTCTCCTAAGCTAAGAAAGAGCCCAGCGTTTCCATCAGGAAACCTAGCTAAAAGTAAACCAATACCAGGATCCATCCACCACCGTCCTGGTATCAAAGTCGCATGGTGGCAAATCTCCCTTTGATCCACAAGGCTTATGACTGCCTGTGGTGGTGAAGACCTGGGGCAGACTTTGACCAGGCTGTCCTCGGTGTTCCAGGGAGCCACAATGACTCAACCAGCAGATCTCGAAAAATGGAGATTATGCTGGTGCCCTCAAAGGCAAGAGGACGGGCAGTTCAAATTCAAGTCAAGTTCAATTTGCATTAATGCTTTACCATTAAATAATGTATGAACAGCAAATTGTAGTTGCTCAAATGTCGTTCATAACAATTCCTCTAAAGCGACGGCTATAGTGAAAAAATTATTTATATTCACTTCTGTAGAGTGAAATTTTGTCAAGTTAAAGTTAGAAGCCAAAAGACGCCAGTTATGAGAACACCAACAGGCTACACTGGTAAACGCAATAGATGTTTTTTTTTTTAGCAAATTCTGCCTTTTCATGTTGGATTACTAAACCTTCTTCATTTGCATACCACTCATTGACCATTACATGATCGTCAATTATATACTAATTTAGCGTTATCTGTATAAACTGGCCTAACGGTCATTTGCTACCCAATAGAGCAGCTAATAAACGCATAGATTCATTATCACCACCTACAAGGTAGCAGCAGTGCATTTCTTAAAAATTTTTACATGACCCGTTTTCATTTCTAGAGAGCGTATCCAGCACTTCCCGAGTTCCATTCGTTTACTCATACCCACCGTCCACGATGTTAAACATCGTCTGCACTCGGCTGCTACTTGAAGATTTTCTACTTCGTTATGAATGTTGTTCAATGCTGGTCGACCCGATTTCTCTTAGAGCTTTGGAATAGCCGTGATAGGGCATTTTCAAGTGGATTGCATAAAGTTAATGACAGTGAAACTAGTAGATGCCGAAAGGTCTACTAGGTCTGCTAGTTCTAAGATCTAGTTCTAAGTAGCTAAGTTCTAAAGTATTTCCCACTCAGCACTATGTGGACCAACTGAGCGAGAGTTTTTCGGACAAGAATATGAGGATAAAGCGTTTGGCGTTGGTCAATTCCAAGAAGACATACCATGCGTTCGACTTAATCAAACATGGTAGAGGTAATTAAATCTATATCTGGCATTTACAACAACTTATTGTGTTCTACTGATGCATCAAGTCAACGTCTTTGTCGTTCGGAACAACTCTGGTATAGATTTCTCGACCCCGGAGAGATGAGAAGTTTGGTGGCTGCGAAGCAGGTTCCAGTAGGTTATTCTTTCAGAGCATTGAGCAGCATCAACATCATTGCCTTACCCGAACAACTTTCAACAAGCGTTGTCAATCATGACAATGGATTTTTCAAGTGTATTTCGTTTTAAACGTAGCACTAATATCAAAAATAGAAACAGAAAAGACTTTACGCAAAAAACTTTTTGGTCTATATGTACTATTTATTATTATTTATTAAAATAATAGACACAATAATGCTGAGATATTTTCAAGACTCCGGTCCATAGGTATCCGCAGCTGTGATCAAACCCGCTGTTAGTCTTCCCGGGGGCTAACGTGTTCACCACCACATCACGCATGTCCATCGTTTCGTCCTTCTTCCACCCCTGACCTATAGCTTTAACCTATAGCTGCTTTCAGCAATCAGCCATAAACGGGATTGATCTGTGGAGCCTACATCATCATTGGATCCAGTTAAGCTAAAGCTGTGGTATAAACAATAATGTACTCTTATTTTATTTACTAGCTATTCTTTCTTTATGGCGCTGTATGATGTGATATACAACCACAATGTTGCTGAGATATTTGCAAAGGTTCAGACCGCAGGTGCCTGCGGCGGGGATCGAACCGCTATTACTCTCTCCGGAAATTGACGTGTTCAATATCATGCCATGCGGGTTCTTATTCCCGTGTTCCTCTCAGTCTATTTTCTCTGTCAAAGCCGTTATTACAGTTTGGGAATGTTATCGGGATTGTTTACAGAGAACATCCGATTGCTTCTAGAACGTGAAATTATGAATTGCATCAATATTCACTGTTTGTTCAAGCGTCGACTGGTAAACTCATACTACTACGGAACATACCAGTGACCAAAATTCCTCACTGGCGCGCACATCCTATGGAATTAATTTCAATATTTCCCCATTTTTCTAGGACAATTTAGGTTCCTTTCGAATTCGCCTGAAATTTAGCTTATATGAAATCTAACAGTATTTTTGGACGTCTTACGAAATCCTGTCGAATGGCCGACTCAAGGTTGTTGTTTCATTTTACGTTGACCAACATTTCGGCGAATTTCGCCTTCTTCATAACAAGACTTCGAACATACAACAACAGTCTTAGTCTGGTGAAAAGCCTTATTTCAGCAGTTTCGTTATTCGTGCTTTTCTTTTAGGAATGAGAGCACCAGTGTGCTGTTCGTATAGGGCGACTTGTTCGACCCATTCAGATGAAAAGATTGGTCCGCGAGACAGTGCAAAAACACGCGCAATGAGCAAGGCATTCTTTTTTCCGGTGATGTCCCGAACTTCTGGAATTCGTCATATTTCCCACTTTGAAACTCCGGAACAACCTAAAAGTTTTATGCACCGAAGTTCCGATTATTCTCGTTGTGTATCTTATTGTGTATTTTAATTGCACCTAGATGAATAGCTGGTTAAAATTTGAGTTTTTCACATAGGTGTTTTCCTTAATGCATTCGTCAGCGTACGCTTTGCAGAGAGATTAGATAAACAGTATCCCAATAAGTGCGATCATCTTTTCTGCCGTTGGTATTTACTGAACAGTGCTATTTAGTGCGGAGTGATAGAACATCTGGCTGTGGCTTTATCACCATCATCTATTTGTCCAAGCCAAGCGTTTTTTTAGCTATTCTATTTACGGAGAAGCAATATTCTTTTTACAAGAGATGAAGCAAAAGTTATTCAGGACGTTAATATCACTTCAGAGGTCACGCTTAATGGCTTTCTTGCATATAAATATAAACTTGAAAAGATTGGCCTATAATTAATGGAGAAGGGTAGTTGCCGTTCCAAATCAGAAGATTACATTTTATCTTCCTTTTCAGTAGATATATTAGCATCTGTTCGGTATGTTTTTCTTAAATGTGCTTGAAGTGACGAGTGTAAAGTACAAATCTGTCTTACTTTGTTGTCTGTTTCAGAATTGTGGCAGTTTTTCGATAATGTTGTTAATTTGGTCAGTCCCGTCTACAAACTTCCCTTCATATGTCCTATTTCTATACTGCATTGTATAAACACAGTTGTCACTCATAGTTTCATTATCAGTAACCAGTTTAATCTTCATTCAGAAACAATATGCTGAAACTCGTTGAGCCCTCATTAGTAAACCAATTTCTATATTCATTTTTTCGTGATTATTCCCGATTACACGATAATTAGATAGATCGGAGATGCGGACATCACAACGTGACTGATGCCTTCATCTACAACATCCTCTTAAGCTCAACTCTTGCAATCTGCCTAGGTTAAACTACGATTATTCCAATCAGATATCTTAGTAAATTTTAGTTTTTCTTGCATTCCATAGCTTCGTTTACTTTATGGTTGAACGCTAATGGCACTTCCTGAATGGTGGTGCGGGTCCAAGTCAAGTTTTTATTTCACTGGTATACCGACTGTTTAACATTTTTTCACCACGAGCATTCTAAAGCCGTGTGAAACCCCTTTTAGTTCGTTACCAAAGCTAGCAAATATCTGTACACTTCACTATGGAATGCATGTACATAGCATTATTAGAATTGAGAGGGATTCCGGACACAGTGGGTTAAATGTTGAGAAGAAGGTACAATCATATGAAATGTAGTCCACGGAAGCGATTTAACACATAAAATTTATTACAGCAAAGATAGTCCTTTTAATACAGAGGGGCTACATACCCACTTGTTCTTGGAAACATAAAGTAAGAATTGCGGTCGGTGTAGCCTACCCCATGACGACCTATCAAGTATCGAGATGACCGCGGATTGAACTGCCGTTCGCCTGCAAAAAAACTTGATATATTTAATAAATCAGAACAAGTCTACCGTACAGTAATCGCACATAAGAGTAGTCTGGAAATTTACCTCTGTGACTGTACATGTGGTAGGCCAATTGGCGACTATCTGCATAACTTTTCGAGCAGTATTCACAAATGTACGGCTTTGATCGAACGTCCGAATAAACCTATATGTGAAGAACACACAATCCGTCCATATTTTCATCTAATTGATGGATTATTTCCTAATGTAACCATTTTCATGTTATTTTTATCATGTATTTGTGATACCGTAATCTATTAAATATGAATATGAGCGCTAGTATGTGACCACGGATGTAAACACATTACTTCGAGTTTAACGAGAAGATAATCGAGCAAACATCTCTTTGACAAGATTACTACACTAATGATTCATCACAATGCATTAATTCATTAGGAGTCACATAGAATGAATTCCATTATCAATCCATCACGTTCCTATCCATTAGGATGGAATATAACATTTTAATCCTGCTGTTCGAGGAAATCTAAACACGCAGGAACTTGAGATTTCCTCTACTCTCTTTTTCGTCAGATATGCCACAATTACTACAGAGAACATAAGCTCTCACAAGAACTGAACAAAAACGAGTGACGCATTTAAGCCGTTTTTCTTCGGTTAGCCTAAGACATCCTGCTGTTGCCAAATTACAAACATTCATTTCTACAGTGTCGTAATTTAAAATTCCCTATGGCATGCAAAAAAATCTTTCGAAAAAAGAGACATTTTGACTGCGAGTAATCTGTTGTACGAGTGGGTTAAACTGAGAATTTTTCGAAGCAACACTGATACACTTCACTTTTTTCGACCGGTCACTTATACATTCCAGAAAAATAAACTGCACTACCGCACCTTTGCAAATAAAGTGCGTTTAAGTGGAAGTAATCGATTTGCAGCATGTCATTACAGCTCAGTGAAAAATTTCGTCCATGGCAATCCATAGAACATCTGCTCAGAGAAGCAAGTGCTACTTTTCGAGATCTCTGTTTTTCTATGCAAATCGTATGAACGCATTTCTAAAATATCTGCTTACAACCTTCAATGGATGCTTTGGCTCAAATCCCTGCTCAATGTATGCCGGTGTTGGCAGTTCCTGTAGGAACGCTACTTTACTTGTTGACGGATTGACAAACATTGGACAACCATGCAATTCCTGGAAAATTAGTGAATCGATTCCGTGTTAGCTGCACTGATTTTGACTGAAGAAGTCTTCTAGCTAACTTTTCCCTCTTTTTCCTTTTCGAGATCATCTGAATGCTTATGATAGAGCATTTCGGTGTACGAGAAAAACGTACGACCACATTCGCATTTGTATCCTTTCATATCTGAAAAAATTCAACAAGCATTTGACAACCTCTTGAAAGTGGTCATTGCTCTCACTACTTTTATTGCTACACTGAGAAGATCGATCTGTTGTGATCCGTCTCACCAGTGAAGCCTTCCATGTTAAAAAAGAAGAATATTAGTTTAGAAATTCAACTAAACTTTGCGAGACCAGAGAGAGGCTAAAACACTCAACTATCAAGTTCGTTCAAGGAATTGGAAACATTGCTTAGAAGAATCACAAGAAACAGTTTCTTTTTTGTTAAGATTACTTAAACATCTTTTCTCATATTAGTACTCTGATTTGTGATCTTAAATTATCCTAATTTGTTATAAAATTATTATCGCAAGTTATCTATAAAAACTGAAAGGTACTGATTTTCGAAGCAAAAAACCAACAAAGGCAATCGACTGCAGTATGAGTAAGCAGAGTACGCTAATGACTACTGTTTTACCGTACCCTAAAGTACGCCATGTGCTGCAAAGCCGTCATATTTGGGTTTTTGATCGAGATGAAAGTAGATGTCTCACCGATAGGCATATCGTCGTTGTTGTAAAAAATTCTAGACAATATTATATAAAAAGAATGATGATGATGGCTTAATTGCTTGCTTTTGATGTTAAACTTCCTATTTACGACTGAAAATGGAACCACATCGAAGTTACTGTAAATATTCAAAACTATGCGCTACCTAATCACGGACGAAAATAGATACCAATTGTAGCGAAAAGATGCTGTTATTAAATATTACAACTACTTTGGTTGAGAAGAAAATGCGTGTAGCACATAGGTTAAATGTGCACATACTTTCGTTGGTTCGATACTGTGCTTCGGCTAAGCGACAACACATCCCATTCCTCTGTGGTTGGAAAATTGGAGGCGAGCTTTTCTAGTAAAAGCACTGCTAAGCTAAAGTGTGACCATGCTGTGATACCATAGTCTTCATGTCACAAATTAAGTGGAAAACTCATAGAAAGCAGCTCTGAGGAAGGCGAAATCCGCGAAAATGTTGTAGATAGATAGATAGATAGATAGATAGATAGATAGACTTGTGCGTAGATAAAGAAATAAAATAACACTTCGTGTTTGCTAAACAAGAATGTAAACCATTTTTCTATTTCGGTTCCCAGTAAATCACTTGAACACCAAACGCTCTATCCGTCTTCGTTTTATTGTTGTTTCAGTTAATAATTTCGAGGTACTAATTTGAGTTGTTCTTGTATTTACGCCAGAGCGTCTTTTCCGACAACTGCTGATGTGTTACCGAGACGTAGAACATTTTCGGAATTAAAAATATGTTGCCTTGTGTTCAGTTGAGTTATCAAGCAAAAGTTCTGATATATCGCTCTAAGGACATGACGATTCTCTTAAAATGTTTTTCTATCGTGAATCCGGTGAAAAATCGTTTTTTCGGTATGTTGAAGGCGAAATTCGAATCTTCAACATATTTAACGCAAACGCGACACCCATTCCCAAACACCAACGATAGTTGATGGACACCACAGTGCGCTGGCTGATGAGATCCCCCTCCCCTTAACAAACCTCAACCAATGTGAAATTGAGGAACGTTTTGTGATCACAGATACATATCAGAACCTTGACGTTTTAGGCTAAAAGAACGTGTATCTCACAGGCAAGGGCTCCTAATCGTCTCTCTCTCAATTAATGTAATTCATTATTGACAGGCATATGCTTGTTTAAACTTCGAAACGACTGTTTTTAGGGAAGCACGCGCCGAAACCAATGAGCAACTTTGTTAAAGTGGTTGACAATGTGTGCTATAACCGATATGCCGCATGGCGTTAAATAGTTTTCCGTTAATACAATGGTAGAGCTCGCAGAATGCGAAATTCGTTGTTGTAACAGCATACTAGCACATTTAAACACAAAAACATACGCATTACATCTCAAGTTTCTTGACAACACAGCACGAGAACTCCATTTCAGATAGCAAACTGAGAAGTAGAAAAAGTACCTCCATGTTGTTGGGTGTGATATTCCAGCTGGCACGCAAATTCGTACGATTCGCCACATTTTCCACAGATGAACGGCTGCAAAGAGCTCTTTTCCAGAAGAACGCCATAACAGATAATCAGTAAGGAATTATAAGACAAGCGCAAACATCTCCTTTCCAGCTGTATCGTATTCACAAGTTTTGCTTACATTTATGCTTCAGTATGCTACATAAAGAACAAAATTTAGCATTTTAGAAGAATACGTGGGTCTCTTTGGAACTTTAATTTTCTACATAAGACCACCACTTTTTTCTTCAATAGAATCGTACGGAAAACATCCACTATTAGCAGTCGATATAGGCTTACATCACTCACATTCTACTTCTACTTCGACTGGTGTACATATATTTGTATACATATATATATATATATATATATATATGCATATATATGTACAAATATGTGCACGCGTGTATGTTTGTGTCTATGGGTGAACACATTTGTAATATGCACACATGTGTTTTTTTTTTTGGGGACGGGATTTTTGGGAAATTTTGGGAACGCATCTCTTCGAGTTTGACGCAATTTTGTTCGTAGTGAGAAAAAAAATGTAAAAGAAAATCATCAGCTCCGCGATGAACGGAAAGTTGCACACCGACCTGTGAAATGTTATGAACACGTTCGTGAGCTCGGAGCGTGTTCATGTAGTTGAAGGTGAGTCCACAAAAACGGCACTTGTAAAACACGAATCCGTTGTCGTCTTTTTCCACCACCGTAAGCACATCAGATTCTATCGATGAGTCCTAGACTAGCGTTGTAAAAAATATATATATAAATATAATATATAAATATATATATAAATATATATATAATATAATATATAATATATATATATATATATATTTATACGAAATGCTGTGGTCTCATAATTTATTACGGACCACGATCAGTTAATGACAATGATGATGGTTTGTGACAAAGAAATGTAAATATGCGCATATACCATTTTCAAATCGGCTTTCATTTAACCTTAGTAGTAACGAAGAATGCCGTCTTGGATTGTTAAGCTAACACGAGCTAACAAGTTTAATATAGATGTTTACTTGGCTAACGTTCCCACATATATGTCTTCCTCGGGACGGATGATCCTAGTCGATGGGCCATCGTTGTTCGCCTTGTCGATGTAACGTCTTCGTCTTCCTGTCGAGTCGGATCATCTTCAGACCGCATGATCTGATAAAGATGAAGACGTCTGAGCGTTAGACGAATAAACATCCATATCAACCTCGTGTTAGCTTAATAATCCAAGAAGGTATTGATTATTAATGCCGAGGCAAAATGATGGGTGGTTTAAAAATTATTGTTTTGCTTTTCGCTAAGTACTAGCCAACCTAATTCCGACTGCTGCGGAATGAATTGTACGTTGAAAAGAAAAATATTGTCAACGGGTAGTCATATCAACATCAATCGTCATGTATAAAAGAGTGTCGCCTAGTGAGAATGCTTCACTCGAGAGATGATCCACTGAGGAAGATGTGACTCGATCTGATGACGAAGATCATCGAGAGGTATAACGACTGTGCACCATTGACTCGGATCATCGGCTTTGAGAAAGGTGAAAACGTCAAAAAGTTAGCCGAACAAACAACTATATCAATTCGTGTTAGCTTAACAATCCAAGAAGGTATACACGTATACAACCTACTGTTTTCTTAATAAAGAAAGAGATTATTCTGAATGTCTTCTACGCATGTATATATACATATAAGTAAAAATATATACGCACACATATACACGTATATATATATATATGTATATAGAGGGAGAGAGAGGATAGAGGAGTGGTTATTGTTGCGGTCTAACTGAAAGCATGGTGCTGGTTCGACGCGCTCTCCCACGCTCTACTCCAATCTACGTGGAAACGCTTTGCCTCGGCTATGGCCTAGAATATGGTAAAAATCGACTCGATCAGCATTCTATCGTATTGGTAAAGAAGAACTCTTTAAACAGCGGCGTGAACAGCACACGAAATAAACGAACCCCTTCGTGAATTAGAACTGCGAGAAAACGATTCGAATGCAGGAAATGCTGAGATCTGCACAGTAAACGTGATGACGAGTCATATAAAATAAATTAAAAGATTGAATGTATACATGTACTTATGCTCATGTACAATTGCATATCTTGTGAAATTGTCCAGAAGAGCATTGCTGATATTAAGGAAAGCCTGAGGTTATTTATTTCTGTTTGATGTTTGCAAGGCAGTCGAGTGGAGATTATCATGATGATTTAAGTCGTGCGCGGCTTGAGCTAAGTGGACCTGAGTGAACTGTTTGTGCGGCGATTCTTCTGTTTGCTTTATTGATCAAAAATGACTAGTATCTATGACACTGGATCGGATTGTAAAGAATTAGTCAATGAAATATTCTTGCCTGGCGCAAAACCAATAAGCCAAAACGGATGTTAGCTTGTGGAAAACGCTAGGAAATTCTTCAACCAATACGTTGCAAGAGCAACTCACAAGTTTGTCTAGAGCTCGAGGCGTTCGTTCCTGTACACTGAGAGGTTCAGTAGTTTTCTGAACAGATTTTGCTTCCTAAACGCAACTTTCCATTTACGTAATTAAATTTTTGATGAACATTGAATGGAAGAAATAAGAGTCCACGCGTAAACAAGAAAATTTATTCTTCCAAAATGCCAGAGCGAATTGCTTACCGTGTTGTCCACATCTGAAGTAGTGTAAGAAATTTTTAGACCATCCATCGCCTTAATAATCGACTGAAAGAGTTGAAGACTTCATTTTACAGAAATATTTTGGTCACTATCCTTCCAATTTTTCTACTGTTAATTAGCTAAATGGTGCATTTCTATATCTTTCATGATTTAAACGATCTGAATGAAGTCTTACATTTCCAGTTTTTACAGCGTTTTTCGCCATATCACAAGCAGCCATCAACTCGTCGAACTCGTCATCACGCAATTTTTTCGACTAAACATAGAAATCAGCTTCATTCAGGAAATCTCCGTAGTTCAGAAACAAGCAATCAATAACAGCGTACCTCTGATCCGTAGGAGTCCATGCTGACGACTGCAGTGTAACAGACTAGGGTCTGCTCGATAGCCGATCGGAAGCGCCAAGCCACTTAACTCAAGAGGGAGGATCCGCCTCTGTCTCGTACACCCGCTCAGAGCAGTTTCCCAGTTGCATGGCGCTCGCTGACACCATTCACACAACCTGAAGACCGGCCGGCCTAGATGCTGAAGTTGAAAGCTGGAGCTGTTTATACTAGGCAGCTCTTCTCATTTACTGTTAATTTAGCCATGAAATCGGTAATAATAATCTTCAATATGAAAAGCTAATAGAAAATTTTGTAAATGTAGCATATAGAGAAATAACGACAATTTAAACCTTTGCGTTTTATCACAACTTTATTTGCTGTTTATCACCCTTCTACGGATTTCTTTCAAATTCTTTTGCAATAAACCGATGAGTGAGCACGTAATCCATACCATCTGACTAAATGCACCACGCGTGAACTTTGTGCTTTGACAAAATGTAGATTCTTTGCAGAAAACCCCAGTTAAAAAGTAGGATTTCTACGTTAAAGATGTGGCGCTTACACAACAGAAATTCTTTTATAAGCACAAAGACATACGATCTTGCTGAACCCTTTCGCCACAAAGCTGGTTCTTGGTTAACTGATGATAACCTCTCTACGATCACTGGAATATTTTTAGAGTTCAGAACCAAGAGATCTGCAAAAAAAGTGTGCTCTATTGCAACCATCGCACATAAAATTTTTGTACTGCGTTCTTTCAAATTTAAAATAATGATAAAACCCTCGTAAAATTGCAGGTGAAATTTTCGTTCTTGAAATTCTCAATGGAGAAGTTGCGGCTGCGAACATATAAAATATGTTCGGAAGATGACCCTTGAGGCAATGAAGGGAATTTCATTTATAAAGCAAAATCAGTGAGTTAGAATTTGATCGCGACAAAACGAGAGAGCACTCATTCAGTAAGCACAATTTTGCATATTCGAACAGTTTTCATCTCACGTCATAGATTTCACCTTGATTTAAGAGATGTTGATTTGATGTTGAAGGCGGACATTCTTTTCGCATTGTGTAACATGTTCCTACAGAGGTCACGCCGTTGCAAAAGTGCTAAGTTTTTGTAAAATCTATGCTATTGTCTCACAGAGAAAATCGCACAATGCCAAACATACATTACCATAATCGAAAACCTAAAAGAAATAAGTGACACTAGTAAGCGAATTCTGACGCGATAGAATGCATCTGTGCGCAGTTCCTCAATGTTCCTCGCAAAGCTTGCAAACACAACGCTGAAATACAATTTTATGGACAGTACTGTTTTGTTAGGCACAATATCACTGTTTCTCTTGATTTCTAGCCTTTCGAACTTTAGTTCAAACTGTGTAGAAGTGTTTTGCGAAGACATTTTCTGGTTCACGACGTATACTCTTGTTTGCATGCATAATAACCGGTCAATACAGCATGGCTTTGACACACAGGTACAACTAAAATACGTCGCTCCACTGATTTTAACACATTCGCAATGACACAGAAATCCACAAAAGAGAGTTTTCCCGAGAGTGTTCACATACCCGATATTTGGGTGGCAATCAAACATTATTCCAGTTTTGATTGTTATAGTAAATTTTGCTTATGTTATAGAGTGTGAGGGTATAAAAACACTGAAATAGCGACTCGCAGTCGCAAAACACTTCCAAATGATGACAGGAATGTGTTCATGTAATGGACTCTAGTAACATGTAGTAAATGGTAGTGCACAAACCATTCAGAAATACCGCAATGTTCTCAATCCCTCGAGCGTTTTGGTTGTCAAAGTATCGTCTATTTTTCAAAATTTTTCAAAAACAACCTAGTTCATAATGACATAAAATTAAGTACCGTTTCATGTATAATAATTGTGTGGAGAGAATGGTAAAATGGAAGAAGTGTGTTGATTTCAGCACCTCTCGTTTTCAGTGTTTTACATTTGTGCATAGAAGCGCTTCTAGAGCGAGCGACAAGGTGCCATAGGTGTTCTGACCAAGTACGTTAAGTTCTCAAACGTCAAGTTCTTTAATTATAAGAAGAATATGGTCAGTTGTCGAGAAACCGGGATTGTTGCTTATAAACTGTTCAGAGTTCAGATGACGGACGAGTTTTAGTGTGCTCTCAACTGATGAAAAACTGGATGCCGTCCCACGTGGCTTCCTCGCGAAATTAAGGAAAGGACTTTAGATATTCATTACATTCGTCATTAGATTTCTCAACGTATTGTGGCAATCATTAATGAGCATTTTACCACACTTTCGGTCATGGTTCTTTTTTCTTGCACACTGGCTGTCAGTGTTGTTCTTGGTAATATGGGCTTGGCTTATGCACGGTTAAACAATTTTTATTGTGGCTCCGTTACTTTAGAAATTGAATTTCTTTAACCCTCGACAACAATAATCAATAACTCTTCACATAATGGTGTAATCATATCACGGCGCTGATAGAAATCTTGTGCTGTCTGTCCTCGTGTTGTATGTCGAACATGCAAAGCACACCGAAAGTTTGCCTTTCTTGCAAAGAAGAATAAGAGCACCTCAGCATTTCTAACCGGTAGCACACATATGAGCAGCTTCATGACTAGTGGAAACACTACAAGCTATCCATGGCTTCCTCAAGGTCGAAATTAGTGTGAGTGAAATACCGCACGCTAAAAGTACGGTAATGAACTTTCGCGAAACGAAGCTAACAACAATCCGCCTCTTAAGTTGCCATCAGAGTTTAGTTCATCAACACATGCGCAACTTTAGTGTTCTCCCCGAGAATTGTGAGATATTTCCTTTCAGATTTTTTATTCAAATAGTATTTTGTTGATGACCCCTTTAGAAGTGTCCCGGGATGTTGCCCTATGGACGCTCAATTCCTAATGATTCTCGTTTCAGCAAAAAACTCAAAGAACACTATGGTGTTCATTTTTACCGCTTTGGAGAAGATAGTTATGGTAAGATCGCCTCACTCTGTTAACGCATAGATTTACTCTTTGTGAGAGTTCCTGATGAAAGTGTCGAAAAAACCCATGTGGATGACACTTGGATGGGCTTCCTCTTTTTACCACACTTTGAAACCTAAAAAAACACCACTTTGATACTGTTAGAGCTGTACTTCATCAACACCAATAAAGGTACGGGAGGAATCTAGATTTTTGTA